TGCTAGCCATGCATACAGACACCTGTTTTGTCAGTTCATGGGTGAGGGGAGAATATTCTGCAGCTGTTGTCTTAGTCAGGATCATGTTTTTCCTTTGGCTTATCTGTTCTTCATAAGGGGACGGTGTGTGTACGAAGTAGTGCTGAAGATTGTCATCCGGGTGCCTTCTCTTGGAGACTTCAAGACTTTGCCAAATTAAAAGTTAGTGCTTCACAAAACTTAGGCTGAAGACTTTCTGCAGGAACATTTCTTTTCATAATATATTTTTAACAAATTATGTGAATTTAAAAAGAAGAGTGATTGATTCCTTTTTTTCCATTCTCCTTAATTTCCCATCATCTAAATTCCAAACTAGTTACAAAATATGAAGCTCCAAAGATTTCACTTTAGAGTTTTTGAAACTTAGAGAAACTGTCTTGTACAAAAAAAGTTTTAATTATTGATTAGCCTTCCTATGGAAGAAAATATTTAAAATGGGAATTCAAGATGGCTTAAAGCATTTAAATTTTTTCTATGTGCATATCTTTTGATTTTATATGGCATAGGAGGAGTCAGCTGAGACCAAAGTCTAAAGGATATATTTGCCTGGAGAAGTCATCCAATCCTGAGTCATTCTGGAACTTATATTATCCTACATCCAAAAAGAACAAGGGCATAGTATTTGTGAAGGGCAGATTTGAGTGTGCTTCCTAACGTCCACTCAGGAAATAGCAAAGAATGAAATGTAATCAGAATATTTAGGGGAGGTAATTTTTAAAAATATATATATATTGATTTCAGAGAGAGAAAAGGAGGGGGAGAGAGAGAGATAGAAACATCAATGATGAGAGAGTCATTGATCGGCTGCCTAGCCTGTAGCCCGGGCATGTGCCCTGACCGGGAATCGAACCCCGATCGCCTGGATGCTAGGTCGATGCTCAACTGTTGAGCCACGCCCGACCGGGCGGTAATTATTTAATATATATTAAGCCACCATTGTTAGTTATGTAAATTTTTGGATTAAGTAAAACTGCATTTTCAATTTTGGCTTTAAATTGCTATTTTCTAATCCTCTAATAAAGTTTCAGGAAGAATCTTAAATTTACATTAGTTCTCACAACAAAACCTGATTTGTGTTTTTCTTTTGGGGAGTATTTGTGCAGTAGGGGAGCTCTTTAAACTTTGGTTTTTGCCCACTGTTGTTGGTTAGGTTTGTTTGAAAATAAAGGCATTGCAGCTTCTTCTGTGGGCCTTCTTGAATTTCATAGGATCTCTATAGGCGATCTTTTTATATCCATCTAAAAGTCCTTAGCCTTTATCTAAAATTGTTTCCAGTCTGGATTCCTTGCTCATCTAGAAGTCCAGTAAGATTTTTCTCCCTATATACATAGAACTTGACACTGGGCCTAGTACATGGTGGTTTCCTTAATAATTCAAACAATTATGTTACATAATCAGTAGAGTAATGGTGGTTCTGTAGGTGTTTTCAGCACTTCTACGGGCCTGATAGTAATCATATATTTACCTCAAATCAGCTGCTTTTGACTTAAGCTAATAGAGTTGAGGAAGGAAGCAATACCTAATGGTTCTGAATCATTTCAGATTCCTTTGGAAGTCTAAAAGTATGTAGTACTCTCTTTCCTGAAAAAATGCATATGTGTACTTAAAAACGTTTATAAGCAATTTCAGGGAGTTCAGGACTCTGAAACCTATCCTCGACCTTTTTGTGTGGAAGAGGAAAGTTAGAGGTAATTTCCCCCCATGTCCACCTTGATCAATATATATACACAATTGAAGAGTATCTTTTTAAATTTGCACATAATTTATGAAGGCTTTCTAAGTTCAACTGTCACTGCTTCAGAAAGGTGATATTTCATAGTGGCTAAGAGTACAGGCTCTGGAACCAGTCTGCCTGGATTCAAATACCAATTAATTAATGTACGACCTGTGTGACCTTGGGCAAGTTGCTCAAGTTCTCTATTTCTTCAAATGAATTATTATAAGAATTACATGAGTTAATACATGTAAAGTGCTTAGAACAGAAAGTGGTACTCAATAAGTGCTAGCTATTGTTACTAAGTATTATCTCACAGACAGGATTACTGTTGAATACCTGGCCAAGTGAGGTTCTCTGGACTTTTTCCTGGATTGAGGGCTGCCTTTTTCTAATTTGCACAGACACCCTATGAGATAATATCCTCCCTGCAAACAGATGCATGTCTTTATGGAGTATGCCAAGGTAAACTTTCTTTTAGGGTAGGCCTGCTTTACCTTATTTCTGTGAAGATAGTTGCTTACAATTTTATGAGAAAAACAAAGATCCAGATCCTATAGGGCTCCTCTTTTCCTCAGTACATCAGTCACTCTTTTCCTCTGAGCAGAGTAACTGCTGCTGCTCTTCTTGTCCATAATGTGGAAGTTTGGTTGTGCCTATTATTCTCTTTTCCTAGCCCATTGCTGTTTCCACTCTACTCTTTTTTTTTTTTTTTTTTTTTATGATAAAAGATTGAATAGAGATTATGTAAACTATTAGGATTTATGATTCAGTGGAAGAAAAAAAATTTATGATTGCTTCCTCTTCCTCTCCCATTAGAGGTAATAATTATCCTTGTGCTTGTCTTTCTTTTTAACTTTATTGCATATTTATTCCTAAACAATATATTGAAACTTCATGTAAATAGAAACTGTGTGTGTGTGTGTGTGTTCTGCTACTTGCTTTTTATTTTTTAGCTCCATATTATATGCTTGAGTTTCATCTATGTATAGTATTCCATTGTATGGCAGTACTTCAGTTTATCCATTCTACTGTTCATGGACATTTTGGGTATTGTTTTGCTACTATACACAATACTACCATCAATAAATATTTTTATTCATGTTTTTAAATGCACATGTGCAAATTTCTCTAGGGTATGAAAGCTAAGACTGGGATTACTGAATAACAGGGAACGCACATTGTCGGCTTTACTAAAGAATGCCAAATTAATTCCGAAAGTAGTTGCACTAATTTATGCTCCCATTGTCAGAGTTTGAGAATATTGCCAGGAGCATTTTCGGAGGCCCTCTTCACTCGTCCAGTAGTGGTAAGGCTGAGGAATGAGTGAGGAGGCTGGTAATAGGTGATCTTATTCTGAGCACGTAGTGCTTTGGGGCCCACGTTGACTCCTGCCCAGAGTGGTTTAAAGGACGAGGGGAGGGGCGGTCTTGTCTGCAGCGGAACACTAGTGTTCTCTTGATTCAGGAGTACTTGGAGCTCTAGTGCTTGCCTGACTGTTGAAGTTGGAGAAATGAAGTTTGGGGTAAGGGTGGATTTATTCTGAGCATTTGGAGCTTTAGGGCTTCCTCTCGACTCTGCCAATGGAGATGTCCTGGGGGAGGGGTGGTTTTGTATAGAATCTATAGAGCCCCTCTTGTCAAACTTGTTAATTATTGCTAGTCTGGAAGATGTGAAATAGTATCCTATGGTATTAATTGCATTTCCCCTTTTCACTCTAAAAATCCAAAATTCTCTCTTTTCTATGTCAGACTTGGTCATATAACTTTACTGCTGATTTCTAAGCTAAACCCCATGATCATGTGGGTTCATCATCAAGTACATGTTGCATGTACTACACACCCAAGATTTCTCAGTATAACAACTGAAACTTTGACTTTGGTGGCTCTTGTCAGTAGACCTGCAGGGAAATCTATTCTGCCTTGTGTTGTCACCACTGGAGTCATTGAGTCAGGAACCCTATACCATCTGTTCGCTCTGCCCAGGCAGTTGAATTGGTGGCTCTCACTGCATATTGTTACCTGGCCTCAAAAAATACATCAATATGTCTACACTGACACTTTTTGCACCTCATCTGGGGCTTCTATCAAAATACTGGCCCCATTAAACTTGCCATTTTAAAATCTAAGAATCACAGCTATTGGTGATAGTCTGTAAGGAAAATGCTTTAGCTACCACAACCATGGCTGTAACTCCCTCTGCTTTACAGGCCAAAGCTTTATGCAGTTTTAACGTTCATGCCTTTCCTGTACCCCTTAGTGCTCTCACAGCAGCCAGCCTCAAAATTCACAAAAATAACACCGGAGAAGGTCAAGGTATGCATTGTACTCTGATGATCTGTGGCACTTCCTAGGTGGCTCTCTGGTTGTTGCATATATCCTGCTACCCCACCTCGTTTACTCATTACATTCATGCTAGGAAGCATTACAAAGATGATGCTAGCATCTGCAGATTCCAACTGAGTTACTATATGTTCTCTAAAAGTAGCTCAGACCATTGCTCAGGACTGTGCCTCATTTGTCTCCTTAAATTTGTAATACGCGCAAACCTGTAAAGACAGATGTGGGCAATGAGACATACCCTTCTAGGTTTCTTTCTCAGCCCTCAAAGGATTTCATCCATCTTCCTGTTGTTCGCTGTAAGAACATTACTGAAGAGTTTTGTAAGCTCTTTCCTAAATGGATTGAAGTCTGCTGTAGAAGGACTGCCACCCTTGTTAACGTTCTCTCACCTTATGGAAATACCATGTAAGGCACCCAGTTCACAAAAGAGATATATAAGAAATCTCAGTTCCACAAGGTTAAACATGATTATAACAGACATTCCCAAAGTGTAAAAGGAGTAGAAAAGGGACATGTAGTCCTAACAAAAGTTATGCTAGTACAAATCTTAAATGAGCCAAAACCCTTCCTAGTGCCCAAATTAGCATAAGAATAACTCCCAACAGATAAATTGGTTTGAACCCAGATGAAATTGTCATGGGAAAACCCATGAGACAATTCCCGTACACCTTGACTGACTCATGATTTCCAAATGCATGTTTCTAATAATATTGTGAGCAACTGAAAACCCATTATGAGTCGTCTGAAGTGTTATCATTTACAGGTATGTGAAGCATTCCCAGACCCTCCAACCAACTCAGCATCAGCTCCTCCTACCAAGAAAGACTTCATTGGATCCACGCTCAAGAGGACTGTCACAGGTTTTCCTCACCCCCCTACGTTGCTGTAAAGTGCCAAGACCATAAGACTTGGGTACGTGTATCACAGCGGCAAGAGTGCCAGCGCCCACAAAGACCCATTGGACCTATCAGCTCCTCTCTTTGACCAAGCAGACACGATAGCTAACCAGCAAAGCAGAGTAAGCCAAGTGCCTCTGCATGAGATCATCAGCTGATTAACACACAAGAAAAAATAATTTAGACCCAAGCCCTAGCTTTTCTTGAGAAGCTGGGATTTGAAGGAGCTATTCTGAGATCTGTGCTCCTAGCAAGTGACTGATAACATTATAGACTGGATCAGTAGCTGATTTGAGAGACTGAGTTGTAATTGAGTGAAAAATAGACAACGAAATCTTGAAGAATTGCACATAAGTGCAAGCCAAATTTAACTCTCCAAGTAGTATCTGTTGGACTGAGATTGCTAAACCAAACCTGTGATAGGACAGGTTATTTGGGTGTCTCTCTCTGTCTTTGTTGCCTGTTACTGTTACATTGCTTTCTGTGTTGTCTCTGTAGGCCCAGATGTTCTCAGATAATTCACATTGCCCTGACTGTGGACAACAGTGGTTTCCTAGTTTAGAACTAGGCCATTGGTTGTACCAAACTGAACTTATTGAAAATGAATGTTACCAAGTATTCTTAGACCGTATTAACAGAGCTGATTATTGCCCGGAGTGTTACCCTGATAACCCTGCTAATAGAAGCCTTGTTCTTCCTTGGTCTTTCCCACTTGAGTGGGCTCCCCAAAATCTTACCAGGTGGACCTTTGAAAAAGCTTGCCATCCGTTTCTTCTGGGCCCTCCGCTGGTTAGAAAGAGGATACATGACTCTAGAATAGCTGGTTTTAACCCTGCATTGCAGTTAATCTTGACCAGAACCGACACAACCTTAAACAAAAAACTTGGCCACAGCAAATAACTTCATAAACAGTCAAAATCATGGAGGCTCTAGAGGGTTTTGTACTAGTAACCCAAGGAAGATGGAAAAATGACTCCTTTTAAATCTGATCCAGACTGTCACTACTTTGGGGGAACTGCTTAAATTGTTGGGTCTGTTGCCATGGTCTACAACTATTCTGTTCAGCATGAATTTAATCAGTATTCCAGCCAGACTGTTCATCTAGAACCAGAGTATTTCATGATCCCTATGTTTTGGAATTAGCTTACCCCTTCTAAAAAGCTCCACAGCCTAATTATTGACATATAAGACAAGGTAGTCCTGGAGGAGATGCCCCATACTGTGCATACCATGATATTTCTAGTGATAACTTCTGTGGAAAAGCATCTTCGTGGTAGCTGGATTCTAGATTATTTTGGTAAAACAACTAGACATTTTAATAAGAAACTACATTGTTCTAAGTTCCACCTCTTATACATTAGTCATTGATTTTATATGTAATTTATTCATCATTGGCTCTATTTGGCCTCAGTGTGGCTTTGACATTATCAATAGCTGGTCACCGTCAGAGAAGTCACATTCTGTCAGGCAACACCTGCCTAGGTTACACAAAAACATGGAGAAATGCCACTGTCTATACTTACTTGGCTCTACATAAACAAAGACCGTCCTGTCTTTGTGGTGACTGAACTTAAAATGTCCTACCCAGGAAATGGAAAAATGCCTGTAGGAGATAGGCTACAATAGGAGCTATCAAGCTTGACTACATATATATTATGAGCAGTCAAAGGGAAGCATCTTTCTTAAAACCAAGAAGGTCTTGCTGGGCGTTAGCTACATTCTGGCCTTCACTTGTTCATGAGAATCGTGGAACCAGAGCTTGGGTTAGAAACTTAGAACTGTGGAGGCATCTCAGAGGCCACCAAACAAATTTAAAATTCCACTGAAGATGCTAGATAATCCGGTGCTTGTGTAGCACCTCAACAACGTTCTCAGGGTCCCAGGTTCTTTCTGCTTTTCCCCTCTGGGATCCTTATCTCATTGGCTTTTGTCCTCATAGTGTCCTCAGTGATTACAGTGTGGCTAGTTGCTGCTCCAGACATTTCAGTCCCAAAGGCTGGAAGTAGGAGCAAAAAGCTTTCTCTTTCCAAGACTGTCTTATTTGAAAAGGAAATCTTTGCTAAAAGTCCCTCACTGATTTCCTCTTACATCTCATTAGAAGGTACTGGTTCACATAGGAGCCTGGGAAGCCAGGCAAAGGGAAATGGGGCCAGCAGTGCCTGGGTAGGGCACATTGTCTCTCCTAATAAAATGAAGGCTCTTTTAGGAAGGAAGAAGTGAGGAATGAATGGCTGTTTTTATGCAAGAACTCATGCCTGCCACATGTGAAACCTGAGTTATTTGTTAGTCTGTATAAAGAATGTACCCCAGAGATCTACCCTGTATCTGCCTTATGTTTCTCGTGATGGAAGTTCTTTTCTGTTATTTTGCTGAATAAACTGTGTGGACTGTTAAACTGAGTGAAGACTAGTAGTTTATCATTAACCTTTGATTAAGAACTCCTTCACTATCCTAAAGCTTGATCCAGAAAGTGAACATTTACTTTGAGGTATTGCTTTTGAGGATGATGTTATGGTCAATATTATTCCCTAAATTTTTTCAGATACCTGCTAAGAAACATTCTACATATGTGCAATTTCAATTACCAGCAAAATAGAGAAGAGGTCTTTTGTTTTCGTTTTAATCCGTTTCTCCTTTTAGTAGTAGAGACAAATTTAATGGCTATATATTCCATTGATTTTCAAATCAGTACCTGGATGAGCTTGTCAAAAATTGCAGATTTCTTGGTCTTACAGAAATCTTGATTCCTTGGGTTGCTTGCTGGGCCCAGGAATCTGTATTTTATAAATAGTGCCTTAGGAGCCTTGTATATCTGGCTTAGAAGGATGGGAACTGAGTGCTCTTAATGCTACAAGATAGTGATAGACAATTGTACTTTGCTGGTGACATAAAGAGATTTCCTGTCAGACTGAAGGTCACTTCATATTTCAGGTTACAACTCGGTCAGATGTTTCTCATTAATTAAAATGATTGCACCATTGTAGCCCTCCTCACAAACAGTTCTGTATGGTGAGTATATGGGCAAAAGAAAGGAATAAAAAATATTAATTTTAATATTACATTAAGAAGGGTACTTTGCCTTCAGACATGGTTATCACATACCTGTTCTATGGTTCACTCCAAAATAACATCATGTGGGAGAGTTCATAAAATTAAGCAAGGGAGAAAATTTAGGAAGTTTTTTAGCTCTTCAGCTTAGGTCATTTCAGTATGACTATACTTGGCTTAAAATATTGTAGATCATTCTAGAATACTCCACTTCAGAGTTATGAATAATGAATTTTAAAGTATAAGTATGTTCCTGAAATTAATTTTCATGACAGACTATCTGGAGGGTTATCCACTATTTTGGATTATATAAGCCATATCAATCTTCCATACTGTGGAGGCATTGATAATATTACTTACACACAGTGGTGACCATTTTAAAAATGACTTTTATAACTACCTGTTATTTTATGGCAGACCTGGGAGTGGAAGGTTGATGGAACATGCCTGGGCAGGTGGGGAAGAAAATGTCTCATCAAAAGAAAGCTGTTCTGGGTTGTAGGTTACAGTTAAGATTCATCTCTAAGTCACAGGAGAAAGAACCCCAGGCAAGCAGGCAAGCCCAGGCAAAAAAAGAATTCTGGCATTCAAAGAGTATGTGGCCATCAGCATATTATAGATATCTGTCAAGTGAGATGAGTCATACCCCTTCCAGCTCTTTAGTTTCCCCTGGCAGCCCTTGAGTCTCCCTGGAATCTTGGGAACACAACTTGGAAATGACTTGTTATAGAAGAAAAATGATGGCCTTGGAGCCAGCTGACCTGGGCTTGTCTTCAAATTGTGACTGTTGAATGACCTTGGGCGATTTAAGTCTGTATCCATTTTCTTCATCTGGAAAAGAGAAGGAATAATCATAGTCCATACATCACAAGATTGTTGTGAAGATTAAATGAGTTAATACATAAAGTGCTTTGCAGGCTGCCTGGCCCAAAGAATGTGCTTAATAAATGTTAGCTATTATTGTCGTGTATGTTTTGTTATTTGTCTCCGTAGCAGGATTGTAAGTTGTTTCGGGGCCATGATATCTGCTGCTTTTTATCTTTAGAGCTTAAAATGGCATCATTCACTAATATGAGCATTTAAAAGTAGAAAAAAAGATATATACTTATTGGGTCCTGACTGCCATACGTTTTTCATGATGGCATTTATATCTAAACTACTGTCCTGGATTTACTGATTCTCTTACTTCCTTCTCAGCTGCTAAACTTCTAATTTTCCTCTCCTTTTTTTAAAGAAATATTCACATCTTGGTGTTGCAGATACCAGTGCTTCCTGATACCTGCCTCTTCCCTCTTCTGCACGTCTCCTCCAGGCCTCCATCCCCTCCCCTCTTTCTGCCTGGTGCCCCTGGCCAGACTAGAGGTTTTCAGGATGGAATCGAGGTTGGGTGAGGTCCTACTGTTTCCCCACAGCTTTTCCTTGTCCTGTCTCCTCCCAGCTGGTTGTGATAAAATATATGGGAGACTGTGGTTGAATGGTGACTGGAATGTAAGTTCATTGCCTGTGGGCTGAAAGTGTGGCCTTTTCCCCACAGAAGCTAATATATTTTATTTTATTACTCATTTAAAAAACTACTAACTACATCCAACGTATGGAAAAGTGCAGAAAATAACATTTACCTATGTACTCAGATCACATGAACGTTTTGCCGCATTTATCTGTGTTCTTTCTTTTAAAAGATACGTTACAGATACAGTTAAATCCCATCCTTATTCTCAGCTGATTCCTGGCCTTCCCTTGCAGAAGCAAGCACTAAGTGGAAGTTGATGTCTATCCTTTCTATTCGTGTGCTTAATTTTTTATTTTATGTATATTTAAACAATGTACAGAACAATAAAAAGAATTGGACACTTTCAAATTTTTATTAGTTATTTAATAAATATGTAATACACATCAGCTTGTGGAGTTACCCTGACAACATTTAGTTTTGTTTGTCAGAGTTTGCTAAACTTGCTTGTGCTACTGCAGCGCAAAGGTCATTCGGTGTACCTGACAGTGAACACCTAACGGGTTGTCGGAGCATTGCCATTGGTACAGGAGTTGTCGCACAGAGAGTAGCCACAACTGCAGAAGAAGCAGTGAGACGAATTTGTGTACCTCTTTAAAGAAGTCTGAGGATATTGAAATGAAGGAAGGCATTCCTCATTCTACCAGCTGGTGCGATCTCCGTAAATGGAGAATAAAGCCTTATTGCTTTAACCTGTCTCAGGCCCTCCTGGGGGCAGTTGAAGCAAAATGATAAAAGTTTTGCTGTAAATTTCAGGGTCACAGGGAAGTGGAGATAACCGACAGTGATGAGCCTAAGTTTCACATACGTGGAAAATGAATCATTATCACCTCCACATATGGGCACTGAAAACTAACATTTTATGGTTGAGTTTGAAAGGATTTCACTAAACATAAATGTTTTTATGCCATATGAAGCACATGGGGTCGTCATCTGTTCATTTTTGCGAAAGATCCCTTCAAAGGTATCTTTTTTAGACATAGGTACGGAATGGTTTTTCCTACAGCTGCAGAAAGTCTCCAGCATCGCCATTTCCATCAGGATGAGGCTCTGCTTCACTTCCATTATGCAGTCCAGAGGTTCCTAATGTGCACACTTCCTGCTATGGATTGGACACATTCAAAAGGTTGACCTGCTTCTGGCATAGTGGCCTCCAGATCTCCCAGATACCCCAGCATGTGACTTGTGAGGATGTGTCAAGAAGGTCCATGTTTGTACCATTTCTAACTTGCAGCCTTGAGGGAATTCCACTTCAACTATGAACATGTGAACAGGATACATTATAAAGGGCCCGAATGCAGTGGGCTGCAGGAATGGCACGTGCCTTGAAACAAGAGAGGTGTATATTGAGCATTTGTAAGATTACAGAAATGCGTGTGATGGTTCCTTTGCAGGTTGTTTATTGGCTGCAACCTAGTAATACATTTTGTTTCCAAGTAACACATTTTGAAAGCGTTGCATTATAAAGGATATTCGACCTGCAATAAAATGTACAGATTTTAAATTTGATGACGATTGTAACCACCACCTCAATAAATATATGAAATACTTTCTGGACCCCAAAACGTTTTCTCATGCTCTTTTCCAGTCAGTATGTCTTCCCCCAGCAACTACAGATACGTTTTTTTAATGACTGTAGTCCACAGGCCTGTACCAGTAGAAAGGAGGCCTGTCCCTAACTCCTCCCTTCCCTCATTCATTCATTCATTCATTCATTCATTCATTATTATTTTCAGTTAAAATATGGAGTTCTTACTTTACACCAGGCACTGTGCTAGGCATTTGGGATTAAAATTTTAATTTGTAAAATTAAATTTTACAAAATTGTACTGAGAGAAAGATACAAAGTAAGCTAGTTGGCCAGCCTCTTAAAATATAACACTTTCTTTACAAAGCTTTTTCACACATATATATATTTTTTATTGAGTTAAAATAAAACATTGGTATATAGCATTATATAAGTTCCAGGTGTGCAACATTATAATTTGACATCTGTATATACTGCAAAGTGATCACCACCAAAAGTCTCGTTACCATCCTTCACCATACAATTGACCCCATTCCTCTCTGGTAACCACCAACATGTTCTCTGTATCTGTGGGTTTTGTTTTGTTTGTTCATTTTGTTGTTGCTGTTTTTTAGATTCCACATACGAGTGAAATCCTACAGTGTTTGTCTTTCTCTGTCTGACTTATTTCGCTTAAGCCCATCCATGTAGTTACAACGGCAAAATTTCATTCTTTTTTATGGTTGGGTAGTATCCCATTGTGTGTGTGTACTGCAGCTTTCCCATTCACCCAGTGACGGAGACGTAGGTCATTTCCATGTCTCGGCTATTACAAATAACGCTGCCGTGAACATAGGGGAGCCTATATCTTTTCAAGTTAGTGTTTTCGTGTTCTTTGGACAGACACCCAGAAATGGAATAGCTGGGTCACATGGTAGTTCTTAATTTTTTGAGGATCACATATGGTTTTGTATTTAATCCTCATAGCAATCTTTAATCAGTTTACAGACAATGAAGTATTGTTGGATACTATTGGATAGTATTGTTTTTGACAAAAAATAAGATTTAACTATAAAATGATATAACTCTTTTTGTTGCTTTTAAATTGCCTCTGCTTTTGATTCCTTTTGATACCCTTCATATGTAGCTCATAATAATTAATCTATGTCTTCTTTAAGTACTGCCTAAAAAGGCATTGTATAAAGAGAGACTTCTCTATATTTTACAAAGAATACCACAAAGAAGGCAGTGATGAAACGCCTATACTTCTTCCAAATACCAGGGCAGCAGTCTCAGTTTGCAGATAGCCCCTGTGCATTGTTTACTTGTGTAGAGTAAGCTTCTGACAGGCAAACTTGGAGAAATTTACATGGGATGGAAATTGAAGACAAAGGAAATCTGCAGTGAGTAGCTCAGCAGTGACTTAAATTTATACTCATAGAATGACTTTTTATTTCAATTTCATAGATGTTTAAGATTCTGGTCACTTGGTCTTAACTTTTTCATATTCTCTCAGCCACCATGGGTTGTATTGGGAGATTATGCATTCCAAGTTACTAATCTGAAGCTTTTTTCTGTTTGTAGACCCGAATTTGGCATGTGATCCTCAAGGCAGAAAACATTCTCTTCATTAGAAAAAGTTTGAGGGAGGAAATATTACTCACACTAAACAGATTTAATAAGTAAAGCTGCAGTAGGCATTTCTCCCATGTCTGACCAAAAAGTCATTTACTTCTTTCATTTTGTTTTAGTGGCTATATATATGCCTTGTTTCCTGAGCCCACGGGAAGCATGAGTCTGTTGGGACTTGGGACAAGAAGAAAACAAGACGTCTTCACAAGGAAAACCAGACACTAACAAACAGTTTCCCAAGGTCTGGAGAGAGACGACACAGCCATGGCGTCCAGAGGTCTTGGGGACACTCCAGAGGGTAAGAGGAGTTTGTACAGCGCGGAGGCTGGTGCTGTAGGAAACCAGGGCTGTGCTGAGAGGAAATCTGTGATGACTGAAACCTGAAGTTTGGAAGTAAAAAAGAATTTAATAGGTTAAGTTCTTACGGTTACTCTTACTCTCTTATATTTACCGAATTTACCATCATACCCGACCTTAATTATAAATAAGATTCATGTTTTAGAGACGCCAATCGTAGGAACCTATAGTGTTGGAAAAATGCAATGGCTCTTAAAAAGGATCGTAGACAAATCTTTATTTAAAAAAAAAATCAAGATGTTTTTAAAAGTTAAAACAGTGATGTGCTATATATTTAGAGGGGTTCCTTCAGTCCTAGGGAAAGATGAAATTTAAATTCATCCTACTTACGTATATATAGAGGGTATATAAAATAGGCAAACTATGAAGTAGATTTTGCAGGAGAGAATAAGAGCATGTTTAAATCTTTTACTAAGGATATTTTTAAAAAATATAAAAGTAGAACAGTATAATGAACCCCCGTGTACTCGACACCTCACTTCAACTACTACCTACATAATGCCGAACTTGTGGCCTGCCTTGGAATATTCAAATGTGAATCCAAGACATTACATCGTTTTATTTGTAAATAGTTTTTTCTCTCTTAAAAACAGGTTTTAAAAAATAACCAAAATAGCATTATCACACCTAAAAGATAAATTAATAGTTATTCCTTAATATCATCACATATCCAGCAAGTATCCACATTTATCCAGTTGTCTCAATCACAGTTGAGTTTTTGTGTGTGTTGTGTTCTCTTTGCATTGGGGCAACACGCTGCATTTGAATGATAGATGTTTTAGATTGCTTTTTTTTTTAAAGTTTTATTATAGAAAATTTCAAACACATAAAAGTAGAGAGATGAAGTGAATGGCTAATATTGTTTTATCTATGCTCCCTCACTTCTCCTTTCCCCCATATAATTTAATTGAAGCAATTTTAGACTTAATAATTTTAGCCATAAATACTTGAATACTTATCTCTGAAAGATAAGGATTTAAAAAACATTATCGCAATACTTTGCTGTTGTAAAGGTTGAACAAAAATTTCTTAGTATCATCAAATATCTGGCATTCAGATTTTCCTGATTGTCTCATAAATATTTCTTTCACAATTGATTTCTTTGACACTGGATCTGAGCAGTGTGGTCCGCACGTTGCATTTGGTTGATGTGTCTCTGAAGTCTCTCTGAGTCAATAGGCCACCACTCCTTTTTCTCTTTTACTTGCCATTTTTTATTTCTTGCTGTTATTAAAGAAACAGCCTTTTGTCCCTTGGAATATCCCACATTCTAGGTTTTACGGATTACATTCCTGAGGCATAATTTAAAAAAAAAAAATATGTCTTCATTGATTTCAGAGAGAGGACAGGAGAGGGAGAGAGAGATAGAAACATCAATGATGAGAGAGTCATTGATCGGCTGCCTCCTGCACTCCCCCCGCTGGGGATCAAGCCCGCAACCCGGGCATGTGTGCTGATCCGGAATCAAACCACGATCTCCTGGATCCTAGGTCGATACTCAACCACTGAGCCACACCGGCCTGGCCTGAGGCATAATTTAATACATTCCTCTGTCCTTGTATTTCTTGGAACCTGGTAGTTTGCTCTAGAAGCAGGATGAGATTCAGGTTCCGTTGTTTTGCAGGAAGACTTCCTAGGTGATACAGTACTTCCATTGCTTTGAATCGGGAAGTTAATGACGTCTGGTTTTCCCTCTTTGTTCAATGTTAAGATTGATCAAGTGGTCCATTCTGGTCGTCCATTATAAAATTCCTCTTCAGCTTTTTCCATAATGGTTTTAGTTACTGCAGTTGACGATTGCCTGGATCCATTATTTCATTAGGAAAGAGGATGAATTTAATACAACCAAAAGTTGGCTCTGTCATTCAGAAGTTTTACATTAGTATATTTGTTAAATTCATGAACATGATAAGAAATTTGTTTATTTTGTCTTAATTTCCTGTAATGGATGTCAAGAGATAATACAATGCCTTATAAAACATAAAAATCTATATAAATATTACTTATTGGTAATCAGGGACCTTGTTAAAATACAAAAGAGGGAATGTTTTTCAATAAAAATGATAAATTTTTTATCTCCATAGACTCTCAAAAGGATTTGGAAAATCCATCAATAAATTCTCAGGCACAGGAGACCACAGTGACAGCAAGTACCACCAAAGAATCTCAGACCCTAAGCCCTACCTCTGGTCTCAACAAAAACCACCAAGAGGTAGAAACAATATATTCAGGAAGCGCAGATACAGGTGACCAATCAGAAAGTCCAGATGAAACAAATGATGGGAAATATCCAAAGGATAAAACAGAACGTAAGACCAACCAGAGTTTTCAGGATGGTGAACAAGAGCATCAGCTCTCTTCAAAAAGTCTGCATGAAGAACCCGTGCATCCTGAAAGCCTGGGAGAAGAACCCGTGCATCCTGAAAGCCTGGGAGAAGAACCCGTGCATCCTGAAAGCCTGGGAGAAGAACCCGTGCATCCTGAAAGCCTGCGTAAAGAACCTGTGCATCCTGAAAGCCTGCATAAAGAACCCGTGCATCCTGAAAGTCTGGGTGAAGAATCCTTGCATCCAAAACCCAACCGTTCTCCAGGCAAAGAGGCAGGAAGAGCAGATGCACAGTCAGGGAGTAGCTCTGTTGACCTCCCTGAGGAAGCGAGCAACAGACCCAGAGCTGCCCGGGGAGCCCAGAGTCTTAGTTATTCCAGGGAACAGCTGGAGAGCCAGGGTACACTGAGGAGGCGGCTGGTGGAGCCAGGTGAGAGCGCCCATTGCCCTTCTGTCCTGTCTATATTGCTCTGTCTCTGAGAACACAGCATAAGTCAGGGTCCTTTCCAGAGAACATCTCTTTGCTTGGGCCTTGCCCAAAGTCACATGAAGAACAGTGACCGAGTTGAGATTAGAATGAGGTCTCTTATCTCCTAGACTAGTTCATCCCACTACATTAAATAAACTATTTTTAAACAGTGTTTTCATTTATTTACTGTTTGTATTAATGCAGTGTGATGGGGGAAAAAAGGGCATGCCTTTTAAAAAATTCACCTCTGGCTTTTTCTTTATTTCTCGTGAGCATGTTTTCTCTTACAGTTTTTAAAATCTTTTATTTTTGGGGAAACTAAATGCTACAAAAATTAAGATATGGGAAATTTAAAAACCAGCATCAATAGTAGAAGTACCCTTAATGCAGTCTTTTCAGTTTTCTAGGACTTGGAGCAAATCAGTTAATTTCTCTATAACTGAT